CCATCAGCCGTTTTGACAACTTTACCAAAGTTTGGAAAAAAATTGCAAAACAAATCTTTATTACCAGTCATATTATCCGTAGCACCAGAATCGAGGATCCGATTAGGAGTCAACTGGGAGGAGAAACAAACTGTAGCATAAGGGTTATCTTCTGGTTCTTTCATAACCAGATTACCTTCTGATTGAGCAATAGAACTAGAAAAATTTTCTGGATTCGAAATGATCTCTGGAGTAGGAGAAGAAGTGGTAGACATCGTCTAGGTTGGAAAGAAATCGTAACATAATCTGATACCATGTAGAAATTAGAGTAATTCTCTGTATTTTCTTATTCTTTTCAATAGGACAAATTACGTATTTATATACAAATTATCTCTCTAAAGTAGAAAACTCTAAGAAAGAAAAAATACTAATCTTAGGATATGATCCCTTAAAATAAGAAATTATAAAAATCTATTTACAAAATCCCTTAACTAAAGGAATGGTAATAAATTATCTCTATAATTCCTACAGTTCCTTTTGTTTTCTCTCTTTCTGGTATATTATTATTCTTAGCAAGTTCTTAGCAAACTAAATGATTGAACCAAGCCTCACAATTTTATCTGCGATAGAACCTTTTCAAGTACGGCCGCTTGGTTCCAGCTGAAACAAAATTAGGGTAAGAACTAAAAAGAAAAACAAAATTTAGGGAATGATATGCAGCACGGGATAAGACTTGATTAATTTAGAGAAAAGGGAACAAATACCATATGCTGGTAATGGAATGTTTGGAGTCATATGCTGCTCTCTTTTTCTTCTGCTCTATTCCTCTTGGGTTTTAGTTTTATATTTGCACCAAATAAATAAGGTTTTCAATGCTGATGATGCTTCCCCCACCCGAAAACAAATAAATAGGATAAAATATAGAAGAAATAAATTAGTAAAGAAAGCTTTACAGACCGTTCTGGGGAATCTGTGGGGAATACAAACTCGGAAGATAAAGCAAAACAAGAAGAAAAGAAGATGATCAGAAAGTGGGCATTAGAAAAGTTAGCCCCCTAAATCTGTTGACACACCCTAATCCAGCCACCGAGTTACCCCATCATCCTCCCCCACAGCTGCCAGAATCTCTATGCGCGCATCCAAAACTGCCTGCCATTTTAAGTGGTGGAACCAAATCAGAATGAAAGCTAGATAACACGGAGAACAATCTATGGAAAGACAATGTGAGAGAGAGTACATATTAAAACTAAATACCCGGGAGGCTAATTCATAGCTGACGGCCCAGTGATTGAGGATTACAGAAATGATACAAACTTACTGAAGGATTTCTGCAATTGACCAGCCTACATTCCTCTAAAGGACCTTGCACCGTCTAACTCTCCCAAACATCAAAGCTGTGACTAGCAAAGACGAATTCCATTCTTCTATTGATCTGGCATCAGAATATGGAACATTAAAATCTGACTTTATCAAAAGCAAAAACTTGAATGGATTAGAAAACAAGAATAAAGAGTTCTCACTACACAACTGCCTCAGGTAGCATACTTATTAACCATCTCAAAGACGCAACATTCTTTGAGATACATTGCTACTGAATCTATCTATTTTTTTCCCTTTTGAAACGTCTATTTACTTCATGTAAGATGTGGATTTTGATCTCACAGCTTTGTATTTAAAGGGAACTGCAACAGAAAAAACAAGTATGCTCTTTTGGGACCAAAAATAAAGCCGTCACCTTATCTGATAATGTCACAGTAATTGCATTATTCTCATGACAAGGTAAAACCAATTCGCTTAGGTTTTTGAGCTAAGAATCGATCAAAAGATAGAACAAGATTTTTAGTAAAGTCAAGCTTAGAAATGCGCTCCCTAAATTTGTAAGATGTAAAGTTTACCTGCAGCAACTTCCCACCAGCAGCAAAAGAACGCAGACCAATAGTGTCCTGGAAAAATTGTATAAAACTTTAAGCTAGAGTTACCAAAAGCCAAGAACTATAGTTAATTAACAAAAACAAAGCCCACCAAAATAATTTGAAGTCAAGGCAATGATGACAGTACGGATCAACTGGAAAAATGATAAATTCATCTCAACAAACCTTGTTTCTATAGACAACAAGGAACTGTGCTGCAGTATCTCTTTTGGTTACATTTGACATGGTATCTAGGAACCAACCACCACCTTTAACTCTTTGCCTGGACAGGTGGAGTGCAGGACGATCTCTTGCGTGCATAGCTATAACATATCCCTCCTTTAGCATATCACCAGACTGCCCACTTAGGTTCTTGCTAGTTTTAAGAAGGTGGTCAGAAGTTGACCCTTGCGGTAATTCTTTAGGTGTTTTCCTACTTCTCAAGTCTCCAGGAGAGCGAGAACCAGAACTTAATGCTTGATCTGTGCCACTCATAGCAGTGTCATCTTCTCTTTGTGAAGTACTTTCTCTCTCTAATATTAAGGGCTCATCTGATTTTTGTAGGGTAGTTTGATGGGCATGCCTCTTTTTTGCTTTTTTACCTAATCCGCTGCGTTTTGGATCTGATTTAGTTGCAGTACCAGAAGACATGACAGAACACTGGTTTTGATTAGGATAATCCTTAGATTTTTTGGTATCCTTTTTAAGGGAACTTTCAGGACTTCGTTGAGTATCATCAATCAATTGCTCACCACTAGATCCCTGCAAAGCACTTTCTTTCTCTTGTATGCTAAACTGTCCTTTTTCATCAACTATTTCACTTTCTTCCTCTTCCTCGTCCTCGTCAGAAATAGCATCCTTTGGTATAACCCCATCACAAAAGAATGTTTGCAGCATAGAGATAGCCTTCTCTCTTATCTCCATCCACACTTCTTCACTATAATCAGCACTTCGAGGAAGTATCAATACATTGGGCATCTCCTTCACCTGAAGTAGAGATGGTAAGATAATTTGATTGATTACATCTTCTGTAATCTTAGTTATGTGATATAAAATTAAAATATACTTCCTCAACACAGTTGAAATCAACTCTTACAATCACAACTGTTTTATCTTAGATGAAGATGGTGAAGGAGAGAAACAGAAGCGGAATTATAAAAGATTTACCTGAGCATTCTCTATCACTCCCCACACTTCCACTCCCTATCTAATGCCCTTTCCAACCAATTGTAATATAACTGTAACCAACTACATGCTTCAAATTTGCATGTACTGGAAAAGAAGTCTACTTAAATGACAGGTTATAGAAAATGGAACAAATCGGGTATATATCAGAACAGAAACAAGAATCTATTGTAAAGATGATCTCAATTAGAGGGCTGACCTTGTAACCTGACTACAAGCCCAGATAGCGTTTCACTGTTCCAAAGAACAGAAACCAATTCGGTCTAGGGACACATTTTTAAGTAACCACTACCTTCCTATGTAAACAGCATAGCACAGAAAAACCTGAATTCATAGCATAAGACATTTAATCAATTATCATACCCAAGCTTCCATCCACTGTGGGCCTTCAGCTCCATCCAGGGCACAACCAGCTAAAGTGCCATCAATCAGAAGCTGCTTCAATGCACAATCATCCAAGAGCTGACTGCTACCAGTATTCACAAGAAAAGCCCCTAAAGGCAAGTATCCCAAAAAAAACGAATTCATACAAAAGAAAAGAGAAGGAATAATAAATTTTTAAAACAGAAAATGTAACCAAATGTACCAGGTTTTATATGCTGCAAACATTCCGCATTGATAATCTGAATGGTTTCATTTGTTAAAGTGCAATGCAGCGATATAAGGTCACTTGCAGCTAGTAAATCATTAAGCGTATCCATTCTACGGACAGCTGGTGGGAATGTTACAGAATGCCTGCTTACTTTTCCGTTCTCCTGTGAAAACAATATTCAGAGGAACTTTTATTCAGATGGAAAATCAATCTTACAAAATGTTAGGCAAAAAGATAAATTGCTAACTAATAAAATCCAAAAGGTGTGCCTTTGAATTAACAGACCTCGTACACAACATAAGACAAGCATATATACCACTAAAAACATTAATGAAGCTCGGTTTGCAATAGATCCATTATCTGCTTTCAGTTTACCTAATAAGATACAACTGAATAACATGTTAGAAGAGAATACACCTTTAAGATCTTTACATCCAGTTCAAAATGCCGACAGGAATTGGCAATGCCGCTAAACTGAGCTTCACTCTTTCACAGTTCAATAAAAAATTGCTTATGCTATTTGCGACAGTGTTCATTTTGAGATGTACTCCAATTACAAATTCTGGAACAGTTATCAAAAAGTTTCAACCCAAAGTAGAAAGAGAGTAAGTTATTATTAGTGCTTGGTAAGTTTTAAGTAGCAATGTAACAGAATTAAAGAAAGCTAAGTGGTAGAGTGCAGTAGAAACTCAGCTAATGGACCATAAATACAGGAAATCAGCCTATGTTTTACCTCCACAATATCATAATAAAGCACACTCATTTTGAAGGCTAAGCTTCTGGACGCCAGAGATCGGGCCGAAGCAGATCTACCAACAATTCCCAACACTAGTCCTCGGCACCTCCTCATTCCCCGACAAAGCGGCTGAACTGATCCAAGCCAACCGGAAGCCGAGAGAGCGTGGCGAGAGAGCAAGTGCGTGCGACGGAGCAAGCCCAGAAACAGCGCCATGACAGTGTCCGCGATCTCCTCAGCTCGAGAGACATCAACATGGACGACGCGTAGGCCGAGGTCAGCGGCTAAGGCGGAGTCGACGGCGCGGTCAGAGGAGCCGAGGCAGAGGATGAGCTGGTAAGGGCTGAGGCGACGCTGAACAGCTCGAGGGAGGTAGGAGAGGGAATGGAGGAGAACGGCGGAGGCGGCCTCGATCCTGCCATCGCCTAAGCTGCTGAGAGAAACGTGGTGGACCAGAGCGACGCCGTCTAAGGATTCTTGTTCGAGGGTGCAATCTTCGACGCAGTTGAGGGAAACGACCAGAGGGAGAGGCGCGGGGTTGTCGCGGTGACGCATTCCGGAAGTGGATCTGAGCACGGACGGCGTCGTAGCGGAGGAGGTGATGTCCATCCTATTGTGATTTTGGGGATGTTGGGAGTATGACTCTCTCTCTCTATATCTCTTAATTTCATTCATCTATTTGAATTGAAGGCAGGCGGCAGGGGCAGGGGCAGGGGCAGGGCTGGGCTATGAATTGTGACATTACATTTACTCATCTCCCTTGGTGGAGTACTATGTTTGGAACCCGATTTCCCTCATCTTTCTTGGGAAAGCCCTGTTTATATTTTACAACAGAGTCCTCTGCATCTTGTGTTCGTCCTTGGGGTCTCTGAACCCCTTTCCAGAACCATTCCTGCTTCTCCACTTTGTTTTCTTCATTCGAATAATCTTTCCTCTTTAATACAAAGAGTCAATGCATAATTTCATCCTTCAAACGTATCAGTTTTCATATTTGATGTTTTTCCCCCTTGCCTGGAGTGTTACAAACTTACAATACTTGTTTAAATCTATTTGAAACAAAATTGAAGTACATTTTAAAATATAAATTAATTTTTTTTTTAAATCCAAATTTAAAATTTGATCAACCTCAAACAGTATTGATCAACTATTTATCGACGACAACTAATATAGATATTTTTTTTTATCAAAACCAATCAATAATTATCAAAGCCAATGTCATTTTTATTCTTTTAATATTTTAGATATATTTATTTAACAAAATAAAATGTGACAGGTTTTAAGATATATCTTGTATTATGTATTTAACGTTATAAAAGTGAATTAGTTAACAAAATAAGACGAGAGATGTTAAACTGAGAATACAAACTAAACTACCTCAGTGGTTAAAGAAATGATTGTTATTTTTAAAAGTTTCAGGTTCAAGCATAAAAAACTGCAAAGGTGATGAGCTTTCATTATCAAATTGTTGAAAATCTTTAGGACATATACTAACACTTGTAATCACTTTAGATTAATAAAAAAATATTAGATTGGGGCAAAAAAAATATTGAAGTATCAAAGAAAAATTATATAGTTCGATAGTTAAATTTGTGCGTTAAAGCTAAAAAGAAATACTTAATATTATGTTCAAATTTGGAATTTAGTCCATACACTTCAATTTAACACAATTAAATCCTCTATTTCCTTTTTTTCAAGTAATCCTCTACTTCTTTAATATTATTAATTTGATAATTGTCCAAATAGTTAACACTAGTAGCTTAGTTGATATTACAAAAATATAAATATCAAATTACGACTAAGACCCATATTTGACATAGTAGAGGAACCAAAACCGAAGTTAAGATTGTGCAGTAATTAAGCTACTCAGCTCCATAATGCAAAAATTAAATTGTAGATTTGTTTGATCACCTCATAGAGCAGAAGACAGGTAGATATGTTATTGTTTGTAATGGTGCTTGGGAAGGATTTAACAAGAAAAAGTAGGAATTAGTAGCAAATATCCCCAATTTATTGAAGCAAACATGTCTCGAAGAACTCACCATACGTTCCAGCCAACAATTACCTGATTATCATGATCAATGAGCTAAAAATTGTACATTTATTTACTTTTCAGAAAGCAGCAGACAGCTCACACGCTAGCAACTCATAAATTGAATCCAAGAATTGCTGAAAGTTTTATACAAAACGTAGACCTTTTATATTACCTACAATGACAACAAGCATATGATCTCCCCACAGACCTTCCAAATCAAAATTTCTACAGGATATAGATAACCTAGATACGCATTTCGCGGATGACAATTGAAAGCCTCACACCAAACCAACTGCTGAACAAGTCCATAAACATCAGCAAGCTCAAGGTATACTTAAAAAAACACATTTACAATCCATAGTCTAGGTATATATACCATAGCTGTTAGCAGATTCTCGAGCAATTTCATATCTGAAACAAGCTAAGCAAATAAGTTCCACCACTTTACCAGAACCCATCAGTACCTCACATTTATAAGTTTTGAGTTGCCATCGTGGAGTTTTTCTTTAGTTTCAGGCCTGCAAACTTGATATCTTCCAGACTGCTATCAAAATCCTGGAATATATCCTTCTCCAGATATTCCGACTTAGAAAAACCTCCTCCTGATATTCCGGGTAGTTGCTTGATATGATCGCATTAGAAGTCCAACTCCGACTCCAACTCCAAGGCACACTCCGAGGCCAATTCCAACTCCAACTCTAACACCAGCATTAAACCATGAAAGTTGGCCGTCCTCACCAGCATACATTTCTTCAGCATAGTAACTATGCCCAATTTTCCCATCAGAATCATAGTTTTCAACTTCAGCATCTATAACCTGTAACATGACCACAATGATTATTCTACATTTTAGTAAAAAAAAAAGGTGATAACAAGACATCCAATTATAAACAAATTGACTTGCAAGAAAAAAAAATAGAAGCTTATGCAAATTTTCCTGAATACACTAAACAACCACATTTCATTATTCCCATTGTCATTTACAGAGCTGTGTCGTCGTGACAGGTAACAGTTCTTATGCCATCAGAACTTGACAAATTCATATTTTCACCCTGAAAGTGAGTCCAGGAAACAAATTTGGATGGGGAAGTACAGAAATCAGAAGAAAGTATTCCTGCAGAACTCGACAAGATCATATTTTCACCCTAAAATTTGAACTCAAAACATCTGGCATTACCCAAAATACTCTGATAAAAGGCCCCAAGTGCTTGGAGTTGCAAAAGAAGGATCCAATCATCATAACAACAGCAAAGAAAACAGAAACCCCTTATCGGGAAACAGGTAGAGCATAGTTACACCCCTACAAGTATCTGCATACATATATACCTGGTGCCTACCATATGGAATGAAGATGGTCTTTCCATCATATATAGACAACACAAACATGGCATTTCACCAAATCGAATTATAACCAATAGATGATCTTTGTATGCTAAGACCAGAAGTAACATTTTTTAAACAATCAACACTTCTCACGCAATGCCAATATTCTTCTACCACGCTTGAATCTACATCTAAATTATGAGTAGCAATCAAATTTTAAAACTTTGGCATTATAACCAAATATAATTTACCTTCAATTTCCGCTGTCTATTCAGCCCATTGCCACCCTTATCATCCCCTTTCCCGTGCTCCTCGTCCTCAGGAATTGCATCCAACGTCCATTTAAGCCTGTGCACGCCTTTCTTCTTAGGGCTCACAAGTATATTCTTGGTCAATATCACAGGCGTACCAGCACAACAGCCCGCGATATAAACTTCAATCCCCGGAGCAGAAACACCCATCTTGGGCTGAAAAAAAGACGAATTCCCAGGCTCCGTAGCAACTGCCGCCAGGTAACAGTCCATGCTCCACTCTCCTTCCATCCTTCCCAACGATCCACACAACAGCACCTTCTTTTCATCCTCGTACGCCTCGAATTCGAACCCGCCCGTGACGCGGACGCTATCGGTGCTCAAGTAAGTGACCTCGGATGCTTCCCGGTTGAGACGAACGCGACTAAGGGTAAGGACGGCGGAATCAGAGGCCGGGACACGAGAGCCATTAATTTCGAGAGAGACACCGATCTCGCGTCGGAGGTGGAAGAGGGTGAGGTGGTCGGGGACGCTGTCGACAACACACGGCGCGATCCGAAAGTAGAAGAGACGGATTTCGAGCCATACCGAGGAACGATTTATGAGATCGTAGGGATCCGAAGGTTTCTGAGTTAGAATTGATGAAAGATCATGCTGTCGATGATCCATGGCATAAAATTTGGAGAGGGAGAAAGAGGGTGGGAAATATTTTGGGATATCAAAAGTGAGGAAAACTGGGGATAACCATGAATAAACAAACGAAAAAGATACGAGAATTGATCGGGTAAATTTAGGGTTTGGGAAGAGAAGAAAACGAATTATTTTTATTTTTATTTTTATTTTATTTTTTTTTTTTTTTTTATTTTTATTTGGGGGTTTTGTCGTGAATGTGAAGTTAATAATTTGGCAATGGCAATGGCAATGGCAATGGCAACACGGCCGAGAGCAAAAGAAGGAAGAGGGAAACTCTCCGCGGCTCAGCCTTCGGGAAGCTTAGATGGAGAGAAAAAGAGAAAAGAACCTCAGTGACCGAAAATTTCTTATAATATATGATTTTGACCAACTTTTTTTCGATATGCCAAAATGACCAATAAAATCGCAACGCGATCTCCAGTATCACAGATCAATTTCCAGATTTGCAACGTGGTTTTGACTATCGCATTGCGATTTTCCAAATTTGCGTTGCGATTTTAAAAAATCGTAATGCGAATATATAAATCGCAACGCGATTCTGACTAACGCAACGCGATTCTGACTGTCGCAACGCTAAATTTCAAATTTGCAACATGTTTTAGTTTCGCAACACAAATGTTTTGGGTATATAACTACGCAGCAGCAGCAACTCATAACCTAAATCCCTAAATCGCAACTCATTTCATCTCCATCTATCACTCTCTCCGGCGACATTCGTTCCTATATCCAACGACATCCTTCCCCATCCGGCAACAGGTTTTAGTTTCGCAGCTCGTTTGTTTAGTAAATTAATTTACAATAATGAAATCATCTAATGTTGATCATGTTTGTATAGATTTGTGTTTTGGAGGGTCATGGGAAAATGTTCATGGTGTTTTACAATATATACCTTTACCCATGAATCTTCAACTAAAACTGTCATTAAAAAAGTTAACTTATGAAACTCTAATGTTACGTGTTGCAAATAAATTGAATTTAGAGCCCTTAAGTGGATTTATGCTATCTTATCAGAGAAAAGGTAAAGTTTATTTGTTAACCGACAATGAAGATGTTGAACGATTCATTGCTTACATTAGTGTTTCGCAAGATGATGTTACATTGTATGTTGTTGAACCTAGAAGTAGTGAAGTTGGGTCAGTAGCGGGTAGTAATCAACTAAGTTTTTCAACCCCAGTTTATGGTGCTCAAAATTTAATGGTTCCACCACAATTTTATCACCAAGCAAATTTTGTTTCACCACATTTCCAATACCAAACACAATCTCAAAACCCACAACCTTTCCCTAATCTAAATCCCAATCAACTTTCAGCACCAAATTTCGGTTTTCGTATTGACCAGTTAGACGATGATGAGCCAACAGAAAAAATTATGAGTACTAGTCAGTATTCGAAATTTGATCTTGGTCAATACCCGAACTTTGATCTTGGTCAATACTCAGATTTTGATGATGTTTCAGAAGAAGAAACAGACCCTGCGTGTAATAATTTTGATATTGGTCAATACCCAAATTTTGATGATGAAACAGCCGCTGCCGAGGAAGATGTTGTTGATGATAATGAGGAGGAAGTTACGACTATGAATGAACATGTTGAACATCCATTCTGTAATTCATATAACCCTGAAGAAGAAAAAGAAGAAGAAGAAATCCCCGAAGAAAATGCCATGGGAGTATAACTGGAATATGCCAGAATTACTTCAGATACCAGAAGAAGAGTTGGTAAAGATAGCAGTTGATTGTTACACAAAAATTATTCGTATCAAGAAAGATGATTGTTTTGATACAAAGGAAGACTTGAAGATAGCTTTGTATATGAAATGTGTGGAAAATGGCTATCAACTAAAAGTTAACAAATCAAGCAAAGATCGTTTCGAAACAAGGTGTATGATTGACAAAAACTGTACGTGGCCTATGATTGCAAAGAGGATAAAAGATTGCGAAATGTTTCAAGTTAGGACTTTTATTGATAAACATACATGTTTAAGAACCCAAGTTTTTCCTCACCATAGACAGGAAAACAAAAAGGTGTTGGGTGGTTTTCTGGCTGAGTTAATGTTTTTGAATGGCAGGGTATATCGGGGACATGAAATTATGACTGACATGAATGCTCGGTTCAAGATTAGTATCTCATATTCTCAAGCTTGGAGAGCCAAATGTTATGCCTTGGAATTGTTGAGGGGGTCGCCAGAAGCATCGTTTGCCCAACTGCCGGCTTATTGTCACAATTTAAAGCTGAAAAATCCTGGGTCGGTAACTCATATCAAAACAGATAGAGATGGACGCTTTGAGTTGCTATTTATCGCCATTGGTGCTGCGGTTAGTAAATCAATATAATTTTGTTGACTCATTTTTGTTAGTTACATGTATTTCACATTTAAATGATTATATTTCTTGTGTATATGATTTTGTAGATTCGTTCGTTTATTACTTGCATGCGCCCAGTTATTATAGTTGACGGAGCACATTTAAAAGGTCGATACCTTGGAGTAAACTTATTAGCAGTAGCCATGGATGCTAACAATGGGATACTGCCAATAGCTTACGGGGTTGGCAAATCTGAAACCTCTGATTCATGGACATGGTTTATGGGGCATCTTAGGGATTACATAGGTCCTATTAGCAATCTGACAATCATATCCGATAGGGCAAAATCAATTGACAACGTTGTTAGAAGGTGTTTCCCAGATGCTTTTCATGGACTTTGTGGTGTTCATTTGTATAGAAATCTAAAATCAAAGTCTGCTGGTATAAAAAATCACAAATGGACATACTGGAAGGCTGTAAAAGCTTATCGGGAAGTGGATTTTAATAAGCATATAAATTGTTTAAGACGTGTTTTGCCTCAGTGTGCTCAAACACTAGAAGATGTCGGGTTTGAAAGATGGTCAAGAGTACATCAACTTGGAGCAAGATATGGTTTCATGACGTCTAATAGTGCAGAATCAATCAATGCTCTAAGTCATCATTCTCAGAAATTACCATTACTATGTTAATGGAGTTTTTTCGAGCCTCTATTCAACAGTGGTATAACAAGAAAAGAAACCATGCAGGTATTATTTCTTTAAATTTGTAACTTATCATATATTTTACTAAGTATTATTTATTTAAATTTACAGGAACATTGGAACATCGTGTTACACCATAGACTGAAAAAAAGATAACGAAACGTGTTGTGAAGTCAACGTCATGGAGAGTTGAACCATGTTCAAACACTTTGTTTGAAGTACTGAAT